AGGTATATTGCTACACTGAACACCGAATCAATTCCCGATTTTCGCTCACCTGTCCCTTGTGAGGTCACCGACCTGATATATATATATATATATATATATATATATATATATATATATATATATACAGAGAGAGAGAGAGAGAGAGAGAGAGAGAGAGAGAGAGAGAGAGAGAGAGAGATTGTGAGTCAGTTCGCAGTTTGCAACGTACAGTGTTCGAGGAGTGACAACTGCGAGGTTATTCGCAGTTTTTCCAAGGTTAGACACATATTTCATTAAAGGCAGTTCTTTATTTCCACAAATGCGAGTTAGTTCACACTTTTTGAGCAACACTACTGGACAGTTGACAACCCAACCCGTGCGGCTTTCAGGTCTTCAGTTCCACAATTCCGAGTTAGTTCGTACTTTCCCCTAGTGCTGCGCATCGCTATTATTGTCTTGTCTACACAACTGCGAGTTGGTTCGCACTTGTCGAAACCCTTCGCAATTGTCGATAAACCAGGACTTCAGTTCCACAATTCGGAGTCAGTTCGTACTTTCCCATTGTACTTCGGGTTGCAATTATCGTCCTGTCAGCAGAACTGTAAGTTAGTTCTCACTTGTCGATTCACACTTGTCGATAAACCACATCTTACTCGTTTCGTGCGTCTTTCAGGTTTTTAGTTCCACAATTCTGAGTTAGTTCGCACTTTCCCCTAGTGCAACGGGTTGCCATTGTTGTCTTGTTTATAGAACTGCGAGTTAGTTCGCACTTGTCGACACCCTTCGCACTTGTCGATAAACCACATCTTACTCGTTTCGAGGGCATCTAGTTGGATCGCAATCTTTCCGAACAGTTATCGTCTTTCCTCCGAACTTCTGTCTTTCCTATCCTTCACCCGATGGTTGTGACTTCGTGTGCATTTCGAATACCCATCTCTTACTTCCTTTTCGTCCTCCATTTCGTTAAGTCCGAGTTAGTTCGCACTTCGCTTTTGTAGTGGTCTGGGGTTGGACGTATTAGTCATCCGAGTTGGTCTGAGTTTGGACGTGCTAGTCAACGGGTGGGAGTACAATGGCGTCCGTGAAGAACACATCCACAAGCGCTGGACCATCTGGCCCTAGGGAGGGACGACCTCTACAGCAATCGACTCCTCCGTATGTGCACGCAATGAGAGCACAATGGTTTTTGGACTTCGTTGTTTAGGGGGACCCTTTTGGGCCAGCTGTTTTCATGCGACCCACTTGTGTTACAGACGTTGGGGAAGCGGTCAACGTTGTTCCTCTCGGTACCATCGTCTTGTGCGCGAAGACTCCTGGAGGTTTGCTCAAGCTGCACACTAACGGCTTTTACAACGAGTGCAGACTGCCTATCAGAGGTGTTAAAGGTGTGCTGGTGACCATCAAGAGTTTCGCGAGTTACGGCTCGAACATGCCGTTGTGCTCTCACTTCAAAGGCCTTTACGATGGCGGCAACAAGCGTCTTCCATCGCCAGAGCAATATCTCGATCTTGCGCTGAAGGTGTCGAAAGAACGTCCGGTTCTTCCGCCAGAGCATGTTTTCCGGCTTCTGCCACCCCGTGAGGGGTCGTCCGACTTGGCTCAAGAAACTCCAGGTACGGTAGTGGGGCGCGGGAGTCTGATTCAAGACGCTGGGGGGCGGGTCAAGGGACGCAGCGTTCACACGCAGGTCGGCCCGGATGCTCCTAGGAACACGTCGGACTTGCATTCTCAGGGTACAGGGACTCAACGGGTCGGTACTCCGAAACTTATCAAGGTCCGCTGCGGCGGCGACACGTATTCGCTTCGAGATGAGAAGACAAGAGATTCAAGCAGATCGGGGCTAGATGTCGGGGGGATGGGCGCTGTCCGCGAAAGCTCTGGCGGGGAGCAGACTCCTTCGGAGAAGAAGAGCGAGCGACAGAGGATGGTGCGAGAGGAGCTGGCGGAAGGAACCCTCCGCATGAAGAGGATGAGAGGAAAATCGGAGGCGGTGATGGGCGGGAATGGAGGTGACGACGGAGAACGTGCCTTGGGAAAAAGGCCGACGAAGGAAAACGGTGGGACGACAAGTAAGAAAGCGAGGAGGCCCGGCGGTTTGACCATCCGCAAAGGACAAGCCGTGGGTGGAGGAGATTCGGCTGATCCAGGCGCTGCGGCCGCGAGAGAACCTTCGGGGAAATCGAAACGGAAAGTGGCAGCTGAAGAAGGCGATGGCCAGAAGAAACCTCGAAGGCGGAAGACTGCTGAGGTGGCGAGTGGGGGCGAACGGCCTGTCGGTGAGGTGTGCGACGAAGCGGCAACGTTCTGGCTCGAATACGAGCGGAACGATGGCGGTGAGATCGTGGAGAAGGAGCTCCCCGTCCAACTGCTCATCGACCCCAGGAAAGTCTGCGACATCCCGTCTTGGGAAAGATATTACAACCACCGCAGTCTAAATCGGGAAACTGTGGACGACATCAAGGCTGTGATGCTGAGTCAATACCGCGAGAAAAGGGGGAAGATCTGGACGAAAAACCCTTTGGTTCTGGCACCCATCTTCAAGCCGGTGACGCGTAGGCCGGAGATAGCTAACAGGGTTCACAAAGATGACTTCAAGCCGGAGGACAAGGACAAGTACTACTATTACCCTGTTAACGGACAACACACCGTGGCTGCTGTGAAGGAGTTGGAGGGTGAGCCAATATTCGATTTGTGGAGGATGCACTCCTTGTCGGAGAGAGTAGTGTGGTTCTCCGACCGAGATTTCGCGGGGTATAGGCAGGTCAGTCTCAACGAGAACACGAGACAGAAGATGTCTAAGCAGCGATCGCAGAAGGCCGCGTTCTTGGACATGAGGGAGACATGGGAGAAAGAAGGAAGGCCGATGGCCATTCAAGGGAACCCTTTCGGGAAGGAGGCCGAAAAACAAAAGTTTTTCAAACAAAAGTTTTTCGAATTCCAGAAGCTGCTTTTGGGAAAGAGTCCGAACGAAGCTCACTGGACGTTGGCAAAAAAAGATTTGTCGCTCACCGATAAGGACTATGTCGCTGCCGTTGGCAATGCATTGAGGCAGTGGATGCCAGTCGTGACGGCCGGTGATGACGTTTTTCGCAAAGCCATGGAGTTCTACGCGAAATGGGCGGAGGGAAAGTTGTTGGGCGGCTACGGCAAAACGCAATTGTCGAGGCCGGGTAAATACATGCCTGACAAATCTCCGGGTCTACAAGCAATTCCTGATATTGGCACGAAAGGGGCGGTTGGTGAAACGAAGATGGGGTGGCTGGTCCGGGTCCCGCCTCCTCCGACCAAAAAGAAAATGCAGGCGGACGACAAGTTTCTCGTGGTCGTGAAGGAGCCAGACATGTTCTGTTGGCAGTCTCTCGCGGACATGACCGATGTCAAGAAACTGCCGATCCTCGACGACATTCTCGCACTAAGGGGAGTGTTCGTGCAATCCGCGGGTGGCCGTCTGAAGCGTCAGCATAAACCTGGAATTAAAGAAATGGTCGCGACGACGAAAGTCGACCGTGTGATGCTCCGTATGTTCCACTACATCTTGTTCCTTGAAACGGAGGAGAGCGAACGTGTTTGGCGTAACGGGAGCCCATTTTTTTGGACCGAGGGGAAGCTTCTGGAGGAGTTCGGGCCGCAGGACCTCACGAAACAGGTGTGGGTCGAAATGTGAAAGCATTTGCAGGGCGCGGTGGAGTACGTGAACACTTGCAAACGTACTCTTCCGCACGAGAAGGAGTCCATCGACGACGCGAAGAGATTGTACGATGATGACAGGTTCCCTAAATCTTTCGAAAAGTCTGTCCGTTCCATCTTGCGACTGACGGATGAAGAAGTTCGAGACACGATCAGGGTCAGCGGGGATGTGAGGCACATCAAATGACCCGACCTCAACCGGTTGACCAGCCTCATTCCTTTCGCTTTCCCGCCTTCCCAAGCTCACAGTCATATCACTGCGATCCGTGAGGATGTGTGACATTACGTGTGCAACCTGTACGTCCTCGATTTGTGTGATCCCACACTCCTCACAGATTGGCGAGAAGATGATTTCGCCAACTTGCAAGGCCTTTTACAAACACTTTCGCCAATGCACTGGGCACTTGTGATCTTTTTCCCCTCTCGTTGGGAGCTCAATTTCTTGAAAGGCATGGCCAGGCCTAGCGTCCATCACGTCAGGGCAGGGAAGTGGGTGCGCAATGCACAAAAGCAGGCCACTGTCCAGGAAGGCAATATGCTGGTTGAGGAGTGTGACCGCCTGTACGTGATATTTAATGGCAAGAAGCTGGAAGACAACACATACGCAGTCTACCTGACCAGTAGCCCGACAAAGGCTTCCCGTTCCCAAGGTCCAAGTCCGGCCAAACACACGGTGGCGGCCCGCTCGAAACCTGTGTGTTCATCGGACCCATCAGGACGGGCTGTGACGTGTTTCAACATGGCGGAAGAGGAAAGGTTCTCTCGTAGCATGTGGGAGGACGGCGGTGTGACAAGTTCTCAAGGACCTGCTTACGGGGAGATGGAGCGGAACCCGTCCCGTCTACTTGGTCTACTCGAAAACTTTTGCAAAGCTGGGCAAACTGTTTTTTTCTTTGGGAAGGTGCATGCGTCTGTCGTGTGGGGACTCCTCCGCACCGGTCGGAACGTCGTCGCGTTGGAGAAGGAGGCGAGGNAAACTGTTTTTTTCTTTGGGAAGGTGCATGCGTCTGTCGTGTGGGGACTCCTCCGCACCGGTCGGAACGTCGTCGCGTTGGAGAAGGAGGCGAGGATGATCGACTACCGTCACGAGTTCGTGAAGACACGCGTTGCAGACACTCGCAATGCTTGTGAGTTTGTCCGCACCACCGACGAACGAAATTGGGATCCCAAACGTGACATGTATTGGAAATTGTCGGAGAACAAAAGGACGGACATTTGGGACTTCCTTTTCGGACCCGGACCGCCTGGTCCGACCGACCTCGAGTACAGTCGACGGAGAAACCTGGTGTTCGCTGTGCTCAATGGGTACCACGGTGCACCCAGGGAGTCTGTCTCGCACTTCCTGAGAAGGCTGGAGCACGTTTACTTCACGCTGGCCGAACCGCTCACTCTCGAAAACTAGAAGTCACAGTTTGACGAGGAGGACCCTTTCGACGCTGAAGACATGGAGGAGCTGAGCGACTCCGAAACCTTCGATTTCGAGTCCATGCCACTTCCTCGGGTGGTTGGACAGGTTGGTGATAAAGAGGAAGGTGGCCCTCGGAGATATAGCACGTCCCCTGCCAGTTTGAAGCGTGTGTTTCGGGGCGAACCAGTCGACGACCAATCGTCTGATGACGGGGAGGAAGAGAGAGACTATGATCACGAACCTTGTGACAAGCTCCCTGTGGACCATGACACCTGACAGAATGACAGACTCTACTTCTTCGGCAAGCATCACCGGTTCACGTCGCAGGATGTCTGGGGACACAACGTCGTTTGGCACCTGAGGATATTCCAACCTGCTGTGAGGAATGGAATATGGGTCATCGCAATAAAGGAGGCCGATGGCAAGTGGAGTGGACTGAAGAGACTGGGAGCGGGTGCATTTAAGAGAAAGGCAAGAACTGCTCTGGTGGAGCATTTGAGTCTCATGAACCCCGAGAGGAACGATCCGTACGTCGATGCGTATGCACAACAAAAGCTACATGAGTTGTACGCCAACAACATGTTGGAGTTTCGAGCGCCTTTCTACCCACTCGAAACGGCACCGTCTTGTGGCATTGACTGGCTCATGCCGCAACCTCCGCCGACCGGTCAGCATCCGGGAGGGGGTGGCGGAGGAGACGAAGGAGACGGCGGAGGTGGCGGAGGAGACAGCTCACAGTTTGCCGGAAAGGGGACGGGCGACACATCGTCGGTAGAGAAGGCGTCCGACGGAAAGGGGTCGGGCGGAAAGGGGTCGGGCGGGAAGGGGTCGGGCGGAAAGCGTAGAACGTCCGGGAGTCCCTAGTATATGGAAACTGACCCCCACTACGTAGGGAGTCGAGATTCTGACATGCGAGACGAGGTCACCCTGACATCTGATCAAGTGCGAGTAGATTCGCACTTGTCTGCGAGGAGTTTGTTTCCCGTTGCCCAAGAGAGTCCATCCCGCCGTGCGCAACAGAGATCTCCTGTGCTCAACACCTTGCTCCTGAAAGAGGGCGCGTCTTCGTTTTGCCTGGAGGGCGGGATGCTTGCATTGCGAAGGAGCGAAGGTGCGACCTCCGGTTCCCTCAGCTCGGGCGACCGCCACAAACTCCGAATACATTCAGATTTGCTGACGTCGCCCTCTGCCATAAGTGCTCCTCACGCAACAGTTCCGCGGGGCCAGGAAAATGTGACGTCCTGGCCCCCGCATCTTCAGTTGGACACAGGGTTACCCTTCTCGCCTCCCTTCTCATGTGTTGAGACTCGAGACTGGCGGTCTCGCGACGTGCTGGAGGGGCCCGCGCCAGGAGTGTTGGAGACCGGGGGAAGCGAGAACGAACGTCACACTCTTGTGGAAGACGAGCGCTCTCCGGGAACGCGTGTTGTACATCGGGAAGAGGAAACTCAACGCTGGCGGTCTCACAAAGTGTTGGAGACCGAGGGTAGTGAGCGTGAATGTCATGCTTCGGAGGGTGCGTCCGTGGACACTGACAGCGAGAGTGCAGGAGCTCCGGGGGAAATGCATGCTGTACAGCGGGGAGAGGACACTCGACACGGGCCGGCTCATGAAGACGTGAAGTGGCTCCACGCACGAGCGCTGGTGATCGGGACGTCCGAAGAGGTTCTGCACAGTCGCTCGGCTGTGGCCACGATGCGAGAGGGTGTCGTTAAGGGAGGTCAGTGGACGTTCGTGCAAGATCCCGTTCTTGGCGACGATGAAGACGAAGAAGAACCCGCGGTGGAAGCTCGGGTTCATGGCGATGAGAAAGGCGGAGAACCCGTGGTGGAAGGCGGTGAGGTGACTGTCGACATCCGGACGGATCCACAACGGAAAAATGGTGATTCTTCGCCCACCCGTTGCGGTGAAGAACAGGGTGGTCGAGCGTCTGTCGTGAGCACCGCTCGGGGAATGGTGCTTCATGAAGCCTTAGAGTTGGGTGACGACTCGGCAGCCACCGAGCTGGTTATCGACTCAGGCGTGGCCGAGATGCAGAACGTCGAATCCTCCGTGGAAGGCGGTGAGGTGGCCGTCAACATCAAGATGGATCCAGAGCGGAAAGATCATGATTCTCCGTCCATCCGTTGCAGTGCCGAACAGGGTGATCGAGCATCTGTCCTCAGTACCGGTCGGGAAATGGTGCTTCATGAAGCCATCGACTTGCCAAGCGACTCAGCTGCCACTGATCTGGTTAGCGACACAGCCGTGGCCAAGGTCCAGAACCTCGAACCGTCCGTGGACGTTGGCGCAGTGGCGCGACAGGAGGGCGAGTTCCCTCAAAGGGCTCCCGAGCACGGTAAGATTTGTGAATAGGACCACTCGCATATTTGTCACTGGCAAACTCTGTGTTCGTCCAAATTGATGTCATGGGCTAATGTACCTTTTACCACTAGTTAAAAAAAAACTTGTGGGTTGTGGGTTGTTTTCTATGTTCTACAGGTGTGAGGTTGTTAATGTCCCTTCCCATGAAGCCTTTAAAAGCCGTGCGCGAGAAACGTCTTTCAGGGAGGTCATTGGCCGCTTCACCGAAGAAGTCGTCAAGTGTGGGGTTGTTTAAAAGGGTCCAGATGCCTCGCCTTTCCCAGATAGCTGTCAGGGTTCTGAAGGCTTGTGGAATATATAAGGAGGAAGGTCTGCGAAAACATTTGGCTGCGTCTATTGAGAGCGTTACTGCTTTGTCTGATGGGTCTGATGACGATGGCAAACGGGGTGTCTTGAAAGACCCGTGTCCTAAGTACATCGTGAAGGACACATTCAACAAGCGGGGATACAACTTTTCTGGGAAAAGGGCAGACAGTTCTTAGCCATTCCACCACGGGGTTTGTGCTCACTCCTCACACTTGTTCGTGGGTGTTTGTGCAGTTGGGGCTACATCATGTTTTTGCGTTCCGTTGCCTACAGAAGAGCTTAGCGCTACGGACTTGAGAATGTTGCGGAACATCTGTGGAGATTACAGCAATGGCCACGAGGTGGTGTGCTCGGTTCGCAAAGGTGCCAGTTCAATTCCGTTGAGCAGAAAAAGTCTTCAAACTCTTGTTCAGGGGGAATGGCTTTCCGACGAGGTGGTGGAGTCGTACTTGGCCTTGCTTGCCAATGCTGCGTTGCCTGGGTGTCCCTCTCTTTACGTTCTTAGTCCATTTTTTTATACCAAGCTCGTCTGTGGCGGCTATCGACATGATAGGGTTGCGAGATGAACAAAAGATGTGGATATTTTCTCGCACGAGATGGTCTTGATTCCTGTCCATAAACATGGAGTGCATTGGACCCTATTGTGTCTCTGAGAACAACGGCTGGAGTGCTATGACTCCCTCGTACAAGACGATGGCGGTTTTTCTTCCGATGTGATTGCGAACTTCATGCAATACCTCCATGACGAAGCAGTTTGTCATTATGGTCCAAAAACGAAAGTGGATCTCCAGGAGCCCAAGGTGGTTGTTCGTGGTGTCCCTCAACAATCGGACGGGTCGAGCTCCGGTGTTTTCATGCTCGCCTTCGCTTCATTTCTTGCACGCGGCTGTCCGCCACCATTTTCGATAGCCCAAAGCGACATTCCAAACATCCGGTTGAGGATTGCGGTGGACATACTCCAAGGCGCTGAATGATACCACTGTTGTAAAAATACGCGTAGTTTTTTTTTTGAAATGCCATAAGCAGAAGTGCGAATCTATTCCTAGTTGATCTAGCAGTCAGCCGATTCTAGTTGTGCTGTTGTTTTCATGAGGTGCCGGATTGCAGTGGACGTTTTGGTCAAGTATAGGCTTAGGTGTCGATGTGAATATCCCAGCCTCGTGCTGTGTCAAATTTTTAAGGGTTCTTCATTTCGTGAAACCTGTCATCTTTACTCGTAGGACTTTCGGCAGCGTCGTGCTTCCTTTGTTTGTTTTAGGGTTGTTCTCATTGCTTGCCGCGCAACATCACCTAGAGGGTAGCAGCAGACGCTTACGTGAAGTAGAAACTCAGATGCCTATGTAAATATCCCAGCCAAGTGGTGCCGTTCCTTTTAAGTAGACGCTTACGTATCGGATGTGAATATCCCAACTTTGTGCTCCTTTTGTTTATTTTCGGGTTGTTCTCCTTATGTCTTCTCAGACCGCGGCAGCACCGTGCTGCGTTTTTTCGTTTCGAGGTTGTGCTCATCTTTTACTCATGTGAAAGATATCGACGATTTATTCTTGGTCGCCAAATTGTTTCGTGCTTATCTCTTTCGTTCGCAAGACTTTGTGGTGTGAAAGCCCCTCTCCCCCGCCCCACCCCGACCAACCAGCTTTCATATGTTTTGGCTCGCCCTTGTTCTGCGTGTGGCGCCCCGTTTTACGGTTCACCCCCTCTGCTTGTCTCGATTGAATGCTGTCTGTTGGTTCCTTATGACAGTTGCGAACTTGTTCTCCATTCGGAAACCAATTATCGCCAGAATGTATGTGTGCTTGAAGTTGTTTTACGGATTCAACGGTGCACTGAATAATCACCAATTTTCTTATCCCCGAAATACATCTCGTGCTCTCCACAGAATGCTGGTTGTTGTTTCCGTATGAGAAATGCGAACATATTCGCACTTCGGATGTCGTACATTTGTGATTGAATTGTTCGTTCCATATGAGAAATGAGAACATATTCGCACTTTGACTCCATGTACTTTGTGATATTTGGAAAACCTTGTGCACTTTGCAATATGGGATTGTATGATATTTTGCGTTCAATGACTTTTTGAAACGTCTCTGTGTGCTTTGTAATTTGCCCTCGAATGAATTTTCTGCATTGAATGGTTTCTGGTACCTGTTCGTGTGCAGTGAGACTTCACCTTTGAAAAAACACTAGGCAACTTGAGATGTTTTCACCTCGATGTTTGCGATGTCTCTGTGTGCTTTGCGATTTGACTTGTGCTTAAAGTTGTTTAACGGATTCAGCGGTGCACTAAATGATTGCCAATTTTGTTATCCCCGGAATACATCTCGACGTGCTCTCCACTGAATGCTGACTGTTGTTTCTGTATGAGAAATGCGAACATATTCGCACTTTGGATGTCGTGCATTTGTGATTGAACTGTCGGTTCCATATGGGAAATGAGAACATATTCGCACTTTGGCTCCATGTACTTTGTGATTTTTGGAAAGCCTCCGTGCACTTTACAATGTGGGATTGTATGATATTTTGCGTTCAATTTGGAAAGTCTCTGTGCTTTGCAATTTGCCCTTGAATGAATTTTCTGCATAGAATGGTTTCTGAAAACTGATCGTCTGCTCTGAGACTTCACCTTTGGAAAAACAGTGCGCAACTTGAGATGTTTTCACCTCGATGTTTGCGATGTCTCTGTGTGCTTTGCAATTTGACTTGAGATGTTTTCATCTCGATGTTTGCGATGACAAGATATACTTGTATGAATGGATATAAATCTTCTACACAGAAATATTTGATTGCGTTTTCAAACTGTGCTATACAAATGACAAGCCAATGTCCATATTAAATCGTCGCGCTGATGGACTGTGCAACTGCTTCTCCATCAAAGTGCGAGTTCAATCGCACTTCTGGTGTGAGCCCTGAGCAATTCCCTCGCACTTTGCTTCACGTCGAGGAGGGGATCGAACGGTAAGCACCTGCACATCACGAAACAAGAGCACGTCCCAATTGGAACATCGTCGGGTCCTCACCTCATCGACTCTCAAGATGACTACAGCCAACAGCGGTAGGATGGCAGGTCCGCCTATCCGATGTGGATCTCACGGTGAAGTGTGAAACTCTGCTCTCAAAGATCCACAACGGGTAGAAGGTCCTGCAAGCAGCCGCTGCTTGCTTGTAAGACATGTTATGATGTGTCGATATAACCGACATCCAGAACTGCTTGGTGAGCATCTAGTGCTACGCCAATAAGTTCCAAACACGACAACAAAGTCCCCTAAGAGTGTTCTTTGTCGGGTTCTCACCACATCGACTCTCAAGATGACTACAACCAACAACGGTAGGATGGCAGGTCCGCCTACCCGATGTGGATCTCACGGTGGAGTGCGAAACTGTGCTCTCAAAGATCCGCACCGGGTAAAAGGTCTTGCAAGCAGCCGGTGCTTGCTTGTAAGGCATCTTATGATGTGTCGATATGACAGACATCCAGAACTGCTTAGTGAGCATCTAGTGCTATACCAATATGTTCCAAACACGGCACCGAAGTCCCTTGACAGTGTTCTTTGTCGGGTCCTCCCCTCGTCGACTCCCTCAAGATGACTACAGCTGACAGCGGTAGGATGGCAGGTCCACCTATCCGATGTGGATTTCACGGTGGAGTGCGAAACTCTGCTCTCAAAGATCCACACCGGGTAGAAGGTCCTGCATGCAGCCGCTGCTTGCTTGTTAGGCATCTTGTTATTTATCGATATAACCGACATCCAGAACTGCTTGGTGAGCATCTAGTGCTACGCCAATAAGTTCCAAAAACACGGCAGCAAAGTCCACTGAGAGTTTTCTTTGCCAAGTCCTCACCTAATCGACTCCCTCAAGATGACTACAGCTAACAGCGGTAGGATGACAGGTCCACCTATCCGACGTGGATCTCACGGTGGAGTGCGAAACTCTGCTCTCAAAGATCCATACCGGGTAGAAGGTCCTGCAAGCAGTCGTTGCTTGCTTGTAAGGCATCTTATGATGTGTCGATATAACCGACATCCAGAACTGCTTGATGAGCATCTAGTGCTACGCCAATTTGTTTTGAACTCGACCGCAAGGTCCCCTAAGAATGCTTTTGGCACTGGAGTCCTCTGACCGCCGATTGTTTGGCACTTCGTGAAGGTTGACACTTCTTGAAGGTGGCCTACCACTTCTTAAAGGTGGTCAGTCGCCAAACAGATCACGACCTGACATCGACCTCGATAACTGCGAATTGACTCGCTGTTCAACTAGAGTCTCTCTCTCTCTCTCTCTCTCTCTCTCTCTCTCTCTCTCTCTCTCTCTCTCTCTCTCTCTC